AAAAAACGGTCAAAAGTGTTGGACGGTCTGACTCAGACCGTGACGGTTTTTCTGAGTTTTCTTTGATTAATACAGATTAATTAGAATAGTTCCAACCTTAACAAGCTATCACATCTTGTAAAGCAAACAATTTTCTACAAACTGGTATACTTGTGGAATTTTCGCCTGCTCAGCTTCACTCTGTTAGACACGTTTTTGAGATAGCTCCAAAATCGATTTTTGGAGATGTTTGTACGACAGCTGTATTTTCATAACCAAGCAACATTCAGAGCAAAGACACTTTTCATTTTGTAGAGAAATGTTTAATGTACTTAATTATGTAGTTGCAATTTTAGATTAGTTTGTAGCTTTACTGCAATAATCTTTTGAAAAAGAGCGAAAAAAGGATACCGTTAGCTGGACAAGCGGTTAAGTTCTTTGAGATATAAACCATATATATAAAAAACACTAGCTTTTGTTTTACAATAAAAATGAGTTTCATTCATCTTCAGTTTCCCACCTCAGCTTTGTTCTTCGGAAATTAATTTTTTCCAAAAAGTGGAAAACATATATCGTCACGGGTTTAACTGAGCAATGCAACTATTTTTCTATTTACATTCTTAGACACAGTTTAAACTACTTTTAGTCAAGCAAATTGGATGTTTTCACTCCTAATAATAGATGTCCCAGTTTCACGAACATCTATAGTAGTTCGCTGTTTGTCGGCGGTTTTCTTAATATTTGGAACTATTGACAATGTGTCGAATCTGATTATCTTGACAAGAAGGTCATTCCGTACAAATCCATGTTCGATGTATTCCCTTTCATCGACATTACCCAAGGTTATTTGTCTATACGTTGGTTGTGTGTCACGCACACTTGATACCTATTCATTCAGTCCAACATTAGATCCTGGTCTCTATTGTAAATTTCGATCATATCTCACTTTTTGTCCATTATCGCTCTCCTTATGGTTGACAGTTCTAGCGTGTGCGGATCGATTTGCAGCTAGTTCAAGACGCGTCAAAGTTCGATCCTTCAGTTCCATTAAAGTGGCCAAGTATGCATTTGGTGCAACAGTCATTGTTGTGTGTCTAATTTACTCGCCGATGTTTTATTTCTTTCAAAGTATTTTCACAGTACAAGGAACAGTGACCTGTATACAGACAAATCCATTATGTCAACAATACATTACCTATATTTTGTTGATTGTGCAGAGTATTCTACCACCACTATTTATGTTAGTTCTCAGTCTCTTAACTGTTCGTAATGGTAGACTAATTCGTCGATAAAGCCCCGCTCAAATGTATCACTAAGAGTGGCATCAACTATTAATAGATTAGAAAATACAGAAGATCACATTGGTATTAGCCAAGATCTTACTTCGTAGAAGATACTGTCTATCTATTTGATCAGTCACCATTTGATGCAATGGGCAGTAAAAATGTATCCCATTCCTTTTTATAGCTTCATCGTAGGTCAATACCATTTCCTTTAAATCCGTACTAACTGTTTGACTCCATGACGTTGGTGGTCTTCCCATTCTTGTTTCTCCTCCTTGCGGCTCCCATTGTAATATCTGTTTAGCAAGTCTATCCCTGTCCATTCTTATTAGATGCCCGAACCAACGTAATCGTCGTTTTTTCATAATTTGCACTACTGATGGCAACTTAACTCTTTCTCTTATTTCTGTATTTAATACCTTGTGTGTCCAACTGATTTTTGAAATTTTTCTCAGACATAAAATTTTAAAAATCAGAAACGTACGTCGTATGATGCTTTGAATCATTCCTCTTTAAAACTCACCCTCACCCTCAAAGATATATTGATGATTTTTTCTTTACATCGAATGAATCATTGAATAAAATCAATCAAATGTTAGATGAAGCTAATCATTTTCATCCGAATATTAAATTAGTTCGTCAAATTGGTACAAGTCTTTCATTTTTGGATGTATTTATTGAAAATAAGAATGGTATACTTGTCACATCAGTTTATCATAAAGAAGCAGCTGAACCATATATTGTTCCATTCAAATCAGATCATCCACGACATGTTTTTCGCAATATTATCGAAGGTGCTCTTCTTCGTGCCATACGTTATTCTTCAACATTAGATATATTCAATCAAGAACGACGTACGATTCAACTTATGTTACTTTATAATGGGTTTGTTTTGTGTCAGAATGTACTTCTATCATTCGATTTCTCTTTCTTCGTAGCTATCCACCGAGGTTCATTTATACTCGATTCAAAGAGTTTCTTTCGCAGTATATATCATCTTCATCCTCCTTCTATTTGCTTATACCATCATGTATCGAAACAGAAATTCAATTTTCTACTATGCGTACTAAAGTATTGCAACAGAAAACTGACGCTGAACATCAGTTACTCTATAGAGTTGCTACAATTACTGACAATGAACAGGATGAACAAGCAAAAGACAAGTTCAATCAGATAAAACAACAAAAAGAAGACAAATGGGATAAATGTGTAATTGTTCATTATAAACATGAACAACGTTTTGCTACATATAAAAGAGACTTTCATCAACTATGGAATGATCTATTCAATGGAACACCAATTCTAAATACAAAACTCATTGTTGGCAATCGAAATAACCTCAACACCAAAGAGGAACTAGTATCCAAACGACCAGTTATGTTATCAACTACAAAGAACAAATATCCATAAACAAATTCATCTATTTTCTTATTTTCATTTCAATTACTTTTCTTTTCTAATAAAATGAAAACCAATCACGAAAAAAAGCTTTCTCATGTTTTGTTCCTGAATTTGTATTTTTTTTCGTTTTTTTCTTCTATTTTTGAACTTAATAAAAAACAACAGAATGAACCATATTCAACATTACCTAAAATCGTCATTATTTCCTTTCTAGATTCATTTGATTACTTCTTCTTTTTCATACAATGTCTACTGCACCAAAAGAGACAGGAACAATACTTCAAAATAATGAACCACTCATTCAAAATAATATTTGTAAGTACAACGTAGGAAATCCAAAACATGAATATAGCCAATACTACCATTTGAATTTCTTCTCGATAGCATTACAACACAAGGTCCGCACCAAACCAACCCATATCAATATCAATATTACGAATAATCTAAAACGCCATCTACCACAGCATACAATAACATCCAATGGTCAATATCCAAATACGGACCAAAGTCGAATGAACCGTACTACACACAATCAAGAAGAACAAACCCAACAAGATCAGCAAAATGAAAATAATGACAATGAAAAACGAAACCCATACAAGCGATGACGATCAAAGCAGCGATAATGATTATCTTACTCCATTAACCACACCCAACGACAATCAACCTCTACCATAGGTAGACCAGCGCCCGCCTCAACATACAAGCAAAAAAAACACACTTAAACCTTTCTTACATAAAACCTTCTAATTAGGTTAGTTGTAGGCGGCGACCTAGATTTCACCTAAGTTAATATTGAGCGTGACAACTCATCTGCCCTGATTCTATTTCGATTACAATTCTTCAAGCCATCTGATGAGTCCCTTAAGCAAGGGCGAAATCGCGATCATGGCTAGCTTAATACTCACTTCTGCGTGAAATTTACCTAACTTCTACTACTACTACTACTACTACATGGTAGATAGTCTGATGATTAGGTCGATTGTATGGTTCTCTGTACATCTTATTTGTGATCTCTTCGATCATTTGAATAGATTTATAGAGATTCTATATGATCTCTAAGCCATCTGATGAGTCCCTTAAGCAAGGACGAAATCGCGATCATGGCTAGCTTAATACTCACCCTCACCCTCAAGAGCCCATCGAGTTCTAATTGGAAAAAGAATACCGGCGTTGGAAGAAGTTCCTAGACGAATCGGGGCAAGATTTATTGAAATGGGTTCATAGATCTTAGGGCAAAAAGCCAGTATGTTGCGCTTTTTGACCGCACAGTTTGAGCTATAGAAAATCTAATTATATCACTAGATAGAGCTCATCGAGTTCTGCTTGGAAGAAGAATAGCAGCGTTGGAACAAGGTTCTCAGCGAAGCGGGGCAAAATTTACTGAAATGGGTCCATACATCCTAGCGCAAAAAGCCAGTATTTTGCGTCTTTTGACGGCATAGTTTGATTTATAGAAAATCTAATTACACGACTAGATAGAGCTAATTGAGGTCTACTTGGAACAAGAAGAAGAGTTCTGGAACAGGTTCCTAGGCGAATTGGGGTAGGATTTACTAGAATCGGGCGCCAACTTCACTTACCGAAATTTTTTTTGGAAAATATGCTGAGCTACATATCATTCGGCGTAGTTTAATGCGCTGATTCCAAATATCGCCTCAGTTTTTCTTCAAAGTGTAAGACGGGTGCGTAAAGCGGGATTTCCTGTCAGAGACCTGGGGTTTGTGGGCATTCTCTAAAATAGCCTTGGAAATGTTTCATGAGTTTGCACTACTGCCATAAGTAGGATACATATGTATGAACATCTGGTAAAAATGGTGCTCGATCGTACGTATTCTTTTGTAGCGTTTACAAGATGCGAAAGGGTATGTTTTCAGATAGGTTTTGGGGCTTGAGATCCTTTTGTTTCCTATTCTATTTTAAATTAAATTTGGATTATTCTTTTTTAACATAAGGCCCACCGATGAGGAAGCTTTTATGATATTGTTCGCTTGTGCAATATTGTTTCCTATCCCCAGCGGATTGACTTTCTCTATTTATGTGACTTTATGGACTTAAGTCTTTGCAGATTCACCAACCAATGAAATCATACCGACGGTAGATACACAAAATATTCACAATTTATAAAGATTAATGCATATTAGATGACAATATTCCGAAGTTTATAATCAGGTAAACGGTTTCTTTCATGTTTCATATTATTTTATTCAAACTTTTATCAACTTTTGTTGATATCCACTTGATGTGTTGCGAATTATACTATATCTTCATTATATTTCATGTTTATTTCAATTTGATTAGCCCTTCTTCTTTTTATTCTACTTTTTATTGAATTGAATTTTCATTTTTTGTACTTCCGTGCCTATTGTAATCCAGAATCCAGAGACCTGACGAGTGTTTAAGTTTAAATAAATAACGCAGAACGCGTCGGTGAATTAATTCTACATTCTTCTTTATTTTCTTTCGTCAGGCAGTCGATTGCTAGTAAGAAAAATTTGAGACAAGCAGATTCATTTCTATCTTAGATATACATAAATGTGACTTCGTCTCATATCTTTTTTCCTTGACGTCACACATGAGTTAACTCTGCATATTAACAGTCTGTCGTCACTCTTTTGTTACCAAGGCTTGTTTTCTTGTTGACGATTGTACGGTAACAGAACGAAAAGGAGAAAAAGATTGTCCGAATGCATCTACAGTTCAAGGTTTCAGAAGTATGGTAACACATTATTGTTGTTCTCTACAATGGTGGCGATATGCACATCTGCCTACGAGAAAAAGGAATCACTCTTTCTACTTCTACGAGAAAAAAACCAATGTGTCTCTCTTCCTCTCTGCGCGAAAAAAAACCAATCCGTCTCTCACATAATATTTACATACTTGATTATAATTACCTACCACTCTTTCGTTAAGCGTCGAATACCGACAAATAACAATGCAAAAAATCAACCAAATAGTTTGTTTGATCATCCTTTTGGTGTTCGTTACGACAAGTTGCATGGCACGAGCACGGGCATTTCAAGGGATGGATGAATTTGACCTTCTCAATTATTTATTCAAAAAACGTGATTGTCTTGCTTCTGGTGCTTCTTGTACTCCTAGTAGTCAGTGACGACTGGTACTTGTCGTGATTTTTATGATGATACTCATGTTAATCCTCCTTGTGCTTCTTCTGATGTTTGTTTTGCTGGTCTTCCTCCTCCTTGCTGTGCTTGTTATAATTTCTAAGCCAAGTATGTTTTTTTCGAATAGATTGTTTCTATTGCATCTGATGGAGTATTTTTTGTCTTTTTAGGACACATGGCAAAAACAAGCAACAATACGAGTGGTGCGGCCAAGGCGTTCAAACACGAATTCGCAGATTGCGTTTTCCCGTGCAAATTGTACTTCGCTGCAATTAACCGGCACTTCGAGCACTGTGTAAACATACCAAATCTGCGAAGTGTATCGAGGAGCGAATTGCATTTAGAAACTATTCAACGTCTTTTTCCGTCTCAACAATCTGCATTTCCGAAGTGAATCCTTCATTAGATTAAATGTATATTGACAATAAATGCAAATTTTTGCTCGTGCATATTTACATTAAATCTTCGGGGTAGCCTACCATCTAAATGTGATTATGTCACAGTGATAAACTTGCCTTACACTGTAAAAAAACGTTTTATTAAACCTTAGAGCAGCTTTCCACTTCCGTGCGAAACTCTCACCGCGGTAAATTTACATTAAATATTACGGTATATTTACATTTTCTCCAACCTTTTTCTATAGTGCTAATTTACACTAAAGCATACGGTTGATTTGTCTTCCGAAACGAATCTCGCTGTAAATTCATTTTGTCTCAATATCTAGAAAACTTTCAGAAAAAATCGTTCCTTATGTGTGTCCACATCCTAATGATTTCAAAAGCCTCAATAATTCATCCTTTTTTGCACATTCAGTTATAGAGTCTGTAAGATCTGATGAAAAACTTCATTTTTGACTATGTATCATAAGACGATCGATTAAATTGTTTTCAGAGATACATAAAAGATCACTTAATTATTCAACTATAGTTTGTACTGTATTTAAGGTACCATTGCGCAACACATTTTTTAAAATCAATGATGTATGGGACAAAAGCTCATTTTGATCAGTTATCGGCAAGATTTGAATGATTCAAGTCTTTCGATATATGGTGACGTGTAGAATGAAAAAACATTGGTGTCTTAGAGCTCAAAGGTTGATGGCAACAAGAAATATGTGACGTGAAAGAAGAATATTTAGAGTAAAGCTGAGAGCAGTTTTTGTAAGGACATTTAACTGAAGCACCAAGTTTTATGTGAGAAAGAATATGACTGCGTATTTCTCGTTTATTTAGTTCCGCTTTACAATAGCCGCATTTAGGCATCAAAACAGTAAAACTTGACATTTTGATCTTAAATTTCAATCACAAGCAACTAACTAAAGAAATATCACGTAACAATTGTTTTTTCACAATTTTTCGTTTATTTCCTTTTTAACATTTTTTTCTTTACGAAATACAGAGCATAAAACCAGTAACAAAACAAGTTTCTTACTTTATTATTTTGTATGGATAATAGATAATTATAACAGTGAAATCAATCAAGATGAAAAGATATTGTATTTTATTTTGTTTTGAAAAAAGAATATTGTTTTATATGATACAAAAGTACCACCGCTAATCAATTTATACTGACAGAACAGACAACACATGTGATGCTTGTTGCTAAACATTTTTTCTTGCAACGAATATCAACAAGAAATGTAATGTTCAGATGATTGAATGGCTTGATCAAAATAATATTAAGAAAAAACTAAATTGTTATTTTACGACGGATGATTCGAAAGGACAGAGTAAAGGGCTACGAATAATCGGTGAAGTACTGGGATTGAAAATATCACAAAAATGCAAATTGGCTGAATTAAGATAAAATGTTGGTTCTCACGAGACGTTTATGAATGTGAGTATCGTTTTGATCACGGGGTTAATTTTCCTAAAGACCGGTAAG